CTATCGATAAATCATTGGAGGTGCGATGGGCTCAGCATTTACTTTAACACTAGCTAATATTTTCATGTGGAAATGGGAGAAACAACTTGTACACCGACTAAAAGTATCCAATGAAATCTAGGGACGGTATTTAACATGGTTCATAAAAGAATATTTCGTGCATATAATGTCTCATTTTAGATATGTTGATGCTATTTTCTTTACGTCGAACGACTCACTAGAATTTATCGACTAAATGTTAGATGAAGCTAATAACTTTCATCCTAACATTAAACTAGTGCGACAAATTGGTAGAAATGTTCCATTTCTTGATGTACTCATTGAGAATAGAAAGGGCACTTTAACAACTTCAGTGTATCATAAAGAAGCAGCTGAGTCGTATGTCGTACCATTTGGATCAGATCACCCTGGTCATGTTTTCCGAAACACTGTTGATACTGCTATTACGAGAGCAATTCGTTATTCAACAACCTTATCTGAATTCGAAGAAGAAATACGACAAATGAAACTCATTTTTCTCTATAATGGGTAAATGTCCGGTATTCATTCACGTTTCTCACTCTTTCTATGTGACTTATAAGTACTCGCCAAAACATATCCATTGGCGACTCACTACATTATTCAGTAAATATTTATCAAAGTATTTCATTTTACCTATGCTCCATAACCCTGATGGCTTCGATTATTTACGTCATCAGTTATTGACAACATCAACAGATAAAATATACAATAGAACAGTCAGAAGCTCAACTACCGATCAAACCAGTGACAAAAATATGCATAGTCAGCTTGTGCGACCTACAGACAACAACGAAATAACAAAAAGAAAAAGTCTCATCATTCATAAAAGACACGAGCAAAGACTCACCCAAAATCAACATCATATTCATGAATTGTGGATGTGCACTTTTCATGGAACCGACGCCACGAATACTGCTCTAATTGTCGGTACTAGTTTGAATCGCAACTTAAAACAAGAACTGATGTCCAAGATGATCAAATCTAATCGACGTGCGGGAATCAACCACGAGACCACAACGTAACATGAGACTGGTAAACAAACATAAAATCTTCAAACAAAACTAACCAACCACTAACTTAAGTCATTCGGAATTTTATACTGTGGTTTAAAAATAAATAAAACATATCTCAATTGAAAACAACACATCAAAAATAATAGTAGATCTTAAAAATGAACAAATCTGCAGTCAAGGCACAAAATATCATCGCCCACATAGCTCCTTCTATAGCAACATCGTCACGAATGTGCATATGATTCCACTCCAGCAACTATTATCATAAAATGATCACAACCTTCACCTTTCCAGTGCACCAGCATATCATTTGAATAAAAAAATTTCGTTTGGTAGCTTCTTAGTCGTATACAACTAATTATTAGAAACAGACAAGCTCACGCCACCCTATCCAAAGATGCAGTGATAAATAATTCCAAAGTATCGATCAGTCATTCCCCATATAATTGATTCTCACATAATTTCGATACCCCAGTATGACTCCAATGACAATGACGTTCTTCCTCAGAATTCATGTTGAAATAATCCAATAAGATACATCCCAATGGAAAACAAATAAGTTATTATTCTCATTTCCGCATAACTCGGATACTTTCGAAAAAAACAGCTACCAGGTGAGTCCGTTAAGCAAGGGCGAAACAGGGCATAGTTACCTTTCACAACACACCATTCATGACGCTACACATTGGTCGAAGAAACATTTAGCAGTTGCATTTTATGCAATTTTATGCAATTTTTCGTAATTCTTTGATTTCTGCATACATTGAGTAGTTTATCTGTGATCTATCAATCAATTGAACAACTACCAATACAGAGTCATCTAAACAGTCCTTTAGCAGGAACCATAAGACTCATCGTTCCCACTGCAACGCACACGAATATTGCTTCGTATTTTCTTAATGATATTAAAAATCAGAATTAAGATTAAACAAGATGTTTGTGATCCTACTCGCAATCATCGAGCCGTAACAACAATAATAAAGCCGTCTGATGAGACCCTTAAGCAAGGTCGAAACGCGTAACGGTTAGCTCTAAACACACCCAAACCCACACCCACACCTGTAACGGCAAGCTCAAAAAGCACACCCTAAAAATATATATCTATTAATTCTTTTTCGAATGAATGGATCTGTTATCTATCTAGTTCTTGTTTATGATTCTCGAATCATTAGAACAGACTTTATATATAATATAACCAAAGCCGTCTGATGAGACCCTTAAGCAAGGTTGAAACGCGTAACGGCTAGCTCAAAAAGCACACCCACACCCACACCCAAATACTTATTAGATTTAAGACTAGTCAAATGGATTACTCAAAAACAATATGAGCAATTAAGCATTAAACCAAATGAAGTCGAATTAGCTCATTTATACTATTTACCAAAAGCTCATAAACCTGGTACTCCTTTAAGACCAATTATTTCTGGTTTGAAACATCCAACAATTAAAATATCAAAATTTCTTGACGATTTACTTCGACCATTATTCGATCAGATGGCTTTAAATTCTTCTGTCCTTCTGGTTTTGATTTAGTTAAACAATTACAACAATGGTCAAGAAATAATTTCAGACAAGATACTCTATTTTGTACAATTGATGTTTCGGATCTTTATACTATGGTACCTCAAATAGAAGGAGTATTGTCATTAAAGAAAATGTTAGACCAGTTGAAATTAAAACAAATTGGCGGTCTTAAAGTCGAAACAATTATTAGGCTAAGTCGATTTGTTATGAAGAATAATTACTTCTCTTATAATAGTCAATTTTATCATCAAGAGGAGGAGCAATGGGTTCTCCTCTTACTCTAATTATTTCCAATTGCTGTATGTACTTCTTTGAAAGACAAATAGTTAATCAAATTCGAAATAGTGGTGGACTATATTTCCGATATATTGATGATATATTTATAATAACTAACTGGCCTGGTCGACATCTACTTAAAGAAGTCGATAAATGGAAAAAATTCGATGAAAATATTAAGCTATCTGCAAGTATTGGCCCAACTATCAACTTTCTCGATTTACAGATTGAAAATAAAGATGGTCAACTATTGACAACAGTTTATCAAAAACCATCCTACGAACCATATTACTTGCCATTTAATAGCATTCATCCATTACATATGAAGAAGAATATCCCATTTTCTATGTTACTCCGAGCTATCCGATACTGTTCAGCATTCCAAACGTTTCTAAATGAACGTGAAAAGTTGAGAATGGCACTATTACTGAATAAATATCCAAATAAAATAATTGATGAACAATTCAATAATATGCTGTTAAAATTCAATGTCAATGGACCATTAAACTTTAATAATTATGGCAGATACCGTCAAATAGTTATAAACTCTCCTGTAAAAGAGAAATCATCTATCAATTACGATAAATCGATATTTGCCCACTTTACTTACTGTTCAAGTATGAAGACGTTTCCTGTAAAATTCCATAGTCTATGGGACAAATACTTCGATAAATCTCCAATCAATGAAGTTATTCCAATTCTTGGTACAAGAAATGTCGACAATCTCCAACGACGGTTAATACATACCAGAACCGTAAATCCATAATTAATTATTTCTAAAAATCATCTAAAAACCATACTAAGTACTGAAAACCTCCATTTAAATTATGTACCATCAAATATGTCAACTATATCAGCTTGAATATTAATATTCTATATTTTATTCCAAAAAAGTTATATCAGTTTGAATATTATTTTCTACTCCAGGTCAATTATATCAGTTTGAATATTATATCCTAATTCAGATCATCTATATCAGTTTGAATCTTAATATTTTATTTCAACGAATTTATATAAGCCAACTGTATTCGATTCTCTCCATAATAGTCAAAATCAATGAAGTATGGATTATAATAGTTAAAATCAATTCAATATGGATTATAATAGTTAAAATCAATTCAATATGGATTATAATAGTTAAAATCAATTCAATATGGATTATAAAATTCCTGCTTCAGATAGGATGTAAAAGAACATTGCAAAAATTACAAATGTAGTCCATTACACCTGAAAAAGATAATACAAACAACTAGAAATATCCTGCTTATGAGCCCACTTTCGAAATATTCTATTTATAAACCAGATTTCGAAATATTCTCTTATGAACCGGCTTTGACTATATTTCAAACTAACTTTAATTGAAGTTTAACTAACCTTAGATCTGATTTAAAAACAGCAACGAGTGAAACAAAATTAGAACCTACCTTCTAAAAAATACATCGTGTTTCAATCAGTTCAAAACGCTCTGGTTAAAAAACGCTTTGGTTAAAAAACGCTTTGGTTAAAAAACGCTCAGTTCTATTTTTTGATTTGGAGCAACTTTGATTCAATCTAAACTCAACGTTGATCCAACCTGAATTCAACCTTGATTCAATCCAAACTCAACTTTGATCTGATCCAAAAATTTATCATACAAAGTGGAGCAAAATCGGCATGCACCTTCGAAACGAAGTATAACAGATATATTGCATCTCCCATTGAATCAATCACAACAAAACCGTTGAAGACTAAAAATATCAAGCACTTGAATCGAGATCCATCCAATTGAACGACATATACATCCACTCCAGATTACGTTTTTCGATAAAGTTTTTCTTTTGTGAACTGTGAACTCGAGTGTGTAATTTCTGAAATCTATCCCATTCTATAATTTGTATTCTAATTTCTAATTTTACCTCTTTCGTATTTCTAAACTTGTGCTTATTTGTATCGCAGAGCCCTGAAGAGTGTTTCATTATTTCAATAAATAAATAACACGAAATGCGTCGGCGAAATTAAATTCCGCATTTTATTTAATTCAAGCACAAACTTAAACATTTAATATTATATCATTTTTCGACTTTGATCGATTACTGAAAAGTAAGAGTTGAGACTAGCAGATTGATTTGTCTTTTCGTTAAGAGATAGGTTAATCTGTTTTGAATTAAGATATATTTTGAAGTACCATATATTGGAAATACTACAGAATCACTTAAAAAGAATCTTAAAAGAATTGTATTCAAATCCAGGCCAGATATAGATCCTCACTTTTACACGAAAACAATACAAAATGTTCAACATTTTTTCAAAGTTAAAGATCCTTTTGATAAATTTCTGCAATCTGACGTAGTTTATTGTGTTAAACGTAATGATTGTGAAGATCTTTATGTAGGGAAAACAGAAAGACAACTAGTTCGACGCCTTATTGAACATAGTTCACCCAAACAATTACTAACTGATACCATCCATAAACAACTATCAACACATGCTCCATTAGTTTTCAATGTAATCAATGAACAAAATACACACCCAACAACTAACTTAACTATAATCACAACTGAAACTACTGAAAATGATAAACAACTAATAAAATCTAAAAACAACACTGACCTTCAAGTTCAATCCGGTGATAATTCTTCAACTATATATCAATTGAAATCGTATGATACATTTAATTTACTTAAAAAACCTAATGAATTTAATACAATTGATAATCAATACAAACATATGATTGTTGACAATAGTAAAGTAAATGTAATAGAAAGGTGTCATGATCACACGAATAACAATACTGTAAATTCAATTGATACGTATGACACACAATACCAGGATAGTGATAAGGATAAAAATAAATTTCAAGATGATTCTCGAATTGAATTGTCAATTACCACTAATGATATAATAGTAACTTCTCCAATAGTAACAAGTACTCAAAACGTCCATAATCTTCCACATATGCAATTTCATCATGAAACTTCACCAATACAATTACTAACACCTGCAGCAATGGAATTATCAGAAATTTTATCCTTGAATGATAAAGATAATTTAAAATACTCAAGTATACATGATCATGCTCACAATCAATCTAAAATAGATGAATCAAAAATCGAAAATATTTTTAATGAATCAAAAACAAAGAATACTTTTAATAAACCAATAACAATAATAAATGATACACTTTATAATAGTGGTGAATTAGCTGAATTGGAAAATAGAGCTTGTACCAATGTATTCAAACGTCAAAATTTTGATGATGATATATCAGGCATAAAACTTGATAATTCTATGCTGACTAGTAAATATGAACATCAAATATTTAATATCAATGGTAATGTTATACAAACATTCACAACAGCTATTTCCGGGAACAATAATAATAATAATAATAATAATAATAATAGTAATAATAATAATAATAATAATAATAATAATAGTAATAGCAATAATAATAATAAGAATAATAGCAATAAGAATAATTTAATGATTGATAGAAGTTCTAAAAGATTAATAGATATTAATGATACAACTAATAAATTATTAAATAATCATGATTTTAAAGATATGCATAGTTATAATGAATTAGTAATACAAAATAGCAATGGTAATCTAAATATAAATAACAGTAATAAATGTAATGATGAAATAAATAAACAATCAATAAATAATTTAAATAATGATAACAATTTAAGACGCTCTGAACGAATTAAAGCTTTATCTAAAGTTAAAAATCATAATGTTATTGATTCAAGTATTAATATTAATATTATAATGGACAAACATGTAACTAATTTAGACAGTGCAATATCTAAGCATCAGTATGATATGAAACACAGTATAGATTGGAATGGGTGTCAGATAGTATGGTCAGATAATAATTCATATAAATTATTAATAAAGGAATCACTTATTATAAAAGCTTATCAACCATCATTAAACCGTACAACACACTACACCGCTGTATATTTTTCCTGAAAGACTAAAAGATAGGCACTTACCAACAATTAAAATATATAAATAATCGGCTATATATCTATAATTTTCTATTTTCCTCTTTCCTGTTCCTTTTACACGTATTTCATTAGATTATTATATATTTTTTTTTCTTTTTCTTTCTCTCTCTCTTTCTCTCTCTATCACTATATCCTTTTCTTCTCCTTTTTCTTTCTCTCTCTCCCGTTCTCTCTATCTAATTTTCTGTATTAGTTATTAGCTTATAAATCTACTCAAGTTTTCCTTCTTCATCTATAAATTCATATTTCATATGTTTAATACTCTATATTTTTCTTTCTTTTTCTTCTTCTTTCCTTTTGTTTTTCTCCTCTTATCAAAATATATTTTTTATTTTTACAAGTTTGATTTGCATATATATTCTTGATAATGATCGTTTAACTGATCGAAACGTCGAAATAAATAAAATATATTTATTCACAAACATAATTTTTAAATATTTTATTGAACGATAATTATGTTTAAAAACGCCGCTGTCATTTATTTATCTTTAAAGAAATTTGGTGTATGCATAATAGGAGAAGAAATCAACCGTTGTTTTAAAGTGTTAAATGCTGTAGTACAATCATCGTCCCAGGCGAGGGAAGAGCGCGACGATGTCGCTTGAGTGGATCGTAGCAATTTAAGGAGAGGTTCGGCGATAGTAGCCAGTAAGTCCGAGAAAAGCTTGAACTCCTTTAATATTTGTTGGTCGAGCGCATTTTTCGATCGTAGCGATCAACCCAAGATCTGGTTTAATACCATCTGGAGTAATAAGGTGCCAGAGAAGTTTCATTTCGCGTCGACAGAAGTTACATTTTGAAGCCTTGAGCGTCAAATTGGCACCAACAAGAGCTAAGAAAACTTTTCGGAGATCCTTAATGTGTTGTTTAAATGTTGAAGAATAGACGATAATATCGTCGAGGTATACTAAACAGCATTGCCATTTCAGCCCAGCCAGTACAATATTCATAAGGCGTTGAAATGTAGTCGGTGCGTTCGTAAGTCCAAAAGGCATTACTGTGCATTCAAATAATCCTTTGTGTGTGACGAATGCCGTGAGTGGTTTACTTGATGCGTCCATTTCAACTTGCCAATAACCAGAACGAAGGTCTAATGTTAAGATAAATTTATCATGTTGTAGTTCATCTAGTGTCAGCAGTGTCACATATCCAAGATTTTGGAGATGCCACCACATCTCCTGCGGGAGATGCAACATTTCGCGCGAGAGATGCAGGTGTGGGTGTGAGGGGTGCGTATCTCAAAAGGAGATCTTACATCTCCAGTAGTGAATGACCGCATCTCCAAAATCTTGGATATGTGACACTACTCTCTAGTGTATCGTCAATGCGTGGGATGGGGTAGGCGTCCCTGATAGTGATTTCGTTTAGTTTACGATAATCAATACAGAAACGCATGGATCCATCTTTTTTTGGTGAGAGTACCACCGGGGATGCCCACGGGCTGCTAGAGGTGACAATAATTCCGTCCTTGAGCATTTCGTCGATTTTTTCTTCCATTATTTGTCGACGAGCGGGAGCGTATCGATAAGGAGCTGAGTTACGGGGTTCGGCCTCCGGTTGTATATCTATGTGGTGTTGAAGTTTGTTAGTTCGTCCTGGGGTATTGATGAAAACTTGTGGAAAGAATTGAAGAAGATCAGAGAGACGTTGCTGTTGATCTGCAGATAGTATCGAGTCTGAAAAGCTGGAAACTTCTGGTGGACGATGTTTGTCTGTGTGTGAGATATCGTGAAGTTGTAATGATGCTGTTGGGTATGGTAACTCCATGTGAGACGAAAAACCTTTAGGCTTTGTTTTATAGTGAAGTGAGGGCGGGCGAACATGGTTATGAGGTGATGATGTGTTTCGAAAATAGACTCGTTGGTGGGCCCCATCAATATGTAGTTTATGTGTCCGGATAAAATTATTGCCAATAATACATGAACGCCATAGCTCAGGAACGACGTAAACAGTGTGCCATCGAGTGGTGTTGTAGAAAGTGAACGGAAGTCATAATACCCATTCGACGAAGAGTGGTGATTGAATGGCAAGGCGTAATGATAAAGAAGGGGGTGGTTTGCACCGTAAGTTTGTAAGGTGGGGATCAAGACGTTGGAAGACATGAGAGTTAACAAGGGTAAGAGAAGAACCAGTATCGATTAAAAATGTGACTGGTAAGCTACCAATACGACCGTAGACAGTAAGAGGATGATTATGTAAACTGTCAATGAGGTTAATGTGTGAGGGATATGTTGCTAACGGGTGGAAGTAGGAGTTTTGTGTACCCGTTCCATGAAAACTCCTTATATGCTTTTTGAGCGCGGAGGTAAAGGCTGTGAATTGAACTCATTGGATTCGAAGGTTCGTATATTGTCGTTGGGGGGGGGGGGGGGCGGGGGGTGGTGAAGGGACGAGG